GCTCACTTTGGTTCTAACGGCAACAAGCAGCAGGAGGTGATGCCTGGTGTGAGCTGTGTCACTTTGGAGACAAAGATGCTTAAGTCCCCAGTACGGGTCTGGGGAGAATCGCCTCTGAGACCACCCTGGACTGATCCGGAGCTGCAGGGGGCCTTGGTTTGCCAGGGTATGGATCTGAAGTGGGGGGTGCCTCCCATCCATCCATGTTCAGGCTCCTGACTTGTTTGTTCTGTCATTTGAGGAGGAGCTGCCTCTCTTCTGGCTAGACTGGACCAAGGGCCAGGGGCAGAGTTCATGCCCCAGCCCTGTTTGGCTAGCCTGTGCTATGGCCCTGTCTTGGAGCTGTCGGGCCAGGCTGAGTGGCAGCGTGCTCCCCAGTGATTTTTCCTTTTATTGGAGACCATAAAAGGGCAACACAAGCCCAGCTGTTCCATCTCCGGGTTTGCTCTGTCCATCCGTGGCCACATTATGCCTTCATTTTTCTCGCTCTCAAATGAGTGACGGGGCTGCAGATGGTCTGGGGTCTAGTTTGGCTGGCCCCTCACAGTGGTTGCTTGTGTTCAGGTGGCAGCAGCAAGCCCCGGGCTTTCTGGCACTGTGAGCCTGCAGCTGCGTGGCAGCTGTCCAGTCCAGTCCCCCTGCATGTTGGCCTCAGTATCGGAGCCCCAAGCTACACAGGCCCGCCTGCAGGGAAACTGGACCAGGCTGCCGGTGTGGGAGGGCTGTTGCTCCCTGCTCTCCCTCACTGCTCTCAGCACAGGACTTAGGGTCCCTAACTGCCCACCTCCTGGAGGCCAGTAGCTCCCCAGGAATCACTGAGAGCTGACCCACTGGTGAGGAGGACCCTGGTAGGTAGCTGTTTAGAAACCTGGCCTTTCGGTCACTTTCTTGCAGTTTGGCTCAGTAGAAGTTGATTTGAGATTTGCCTTCCAAAGGGCAAGTAATGATAACAACTCCTAAGTCATCCCATCCCATCTTCAGGACTCCAGATGGGTCTTTTCTTTGTCTCCCATCCCTTCCACCCACTGCCCCCGTGCCCCCCACCAGTACATCAGCATCGGTGGGGAAGGGCTTGGGGAAGGGCTTGGGGAAGAGTTGGAGCTCAAAGAAGCCAGAAGCAGGGTGGTGATGGTGTGTAAGAGCGTCTGCTGGGTGGACATGCAGCCGCCCCAAGTGTGGCCTCTCAGACTTTCCTGAGTCCCTTGGTGTGTGTGTTCCGGGGTTCCTTAAGGTGAAGGGCACCATGGGGGTAGACCAGGCAGACCACCCTCTCACCTGGCAAAAAGGAGGGTGATGGTCTCCCTGACCTCCCAGCCAAGCCATCCGGAACAGGCTCAGCAAAAGTCCGAGCCACCCACCCTTTGGAGAGTGTCAGACCCTGTGCCAGAGTACTCCCAAGAGAGGCAGGGACTCAGAGCCATGCTGCACGCGCCCTCCTTCAGCAGAGTAACTTGAGGGCCTGGGCCTCTGAGCCCCATGTCCTAGAAGCAGCTGCAGGAGAGAGTACCTATCAGGTGCCATGCATGGGTTGTTTACTCACTGAGCCTCTTATCTGCCGTGTGCCTCCTTTATACCCAGCAGTAGGCACTGGTGATTAGCTGAGCATGGTCTAATGAGCACAGTAAACTTGAAGTTGTTGGAATAATTGTTTAGCACTGGGGGCTAAGAGGGAGTATGAGCAAATGTCTTTTAACCTGAGAACTGGTGATTCAGCCAGGTGAAGGGTTGTGCAGGCTGAGACCTGGAGACAGATAACTGCTTGGTGTGTGGCTATGATAAGGCAGCTGTGGGTGCATGTAGCTGAGCAGGCTTTGTGCTGAGGAAAGATGAGGCTGGTACAGGACACTGCTAGGAGTGCTGTGTGACTTAGGGAAGTCATGCAGACATGAGAAGTGCCCCTGAGAAGGGTCTCGGTCCCTGCTGGGCTCCCACGATCCCTCTGCTCTCCCAGCAAGTGAAGAAATCTAGTTGCCTTGAATTTTTTCCTCTTCTCTCCTTGGCTGAGAGGCTGAGGCTGATGCAGAGAATGCAGTGGTCATTTTGGCCACTCTTTCAGTTGGAGAGAGGACAGGCCCTCTCTGTAAGGACTAGTAAGTGGCCTGGAATGGGGTGTCCCGGGATGGAAGCTTAAGTGCAGCTTAAGATGGGTGGAAGATTTGGTCATTCTCAGTAGATCCCCCTGAGTTGTAGTGTCCTAGGGTAGGATGGGTGGTCTTGACTGGGGCCATCTCCTTGAACCAGGCTTTGGTCCAGGGCACCTTAGAAGTTTGTTTCTTGGGGAGGGGTGGGTCCTTCTGTCACCTCCATGTCACCTGGAGAGTAGCCTCTGCTCAGCACTGGGTGGGAAGGGGAGGCTCAGAATGACCTACGTGGGAGGAGCGGGGCGGTGCCTCTCTCTGGGGGGTGAGCGCAGGGCTGCTGGACAGGTCTTGAGTGCTGTGTGGGTGACATCTTTGTCCTGGGGAGGGCAGTGTTTAGTGTGCTCGCTCTAATGCTTGTCCTTGGCCTCTAGCCCTGGCCCAGTGTGTCCAACCTGGCCAAGGACTTCATTGACCGCCTGCTGACGGTGGACCCTGGCGCCCGTATGACTGCACTGCAGGCCCTGAGGCATCCGTGGGTGGTGAGCATGGCAGCCTCTTCGTCTATGAAGAATCTGCACCGCTCTATCTCCCAGAACCTCCTCAAACGCGCCTCCTCGCGCTGCCAGAGCACTAAATCTGCCCAGTCCACGCGGTCCAGCCGCTCGACACGCTCCAACAAGTCCCGCCGAGTACGGGAGCGAGAGCTGCGGGAGCTCAACCTGCGCTACCAGCAGCAGTACAACGGCTGAGCCACCAGCGGGATGCAGACATGGTGGGCCCCAGCCTGGCCACACAGTGCTGGGCCCAGCGCCCTCTCTAGAGATAGACCTGCATGGTCCAGGGTAGGTGAATGGCCCCAGCCCCTTCTCTGTGCCTTCACCAGCCCCCATCTTCACCCTGGGCCTGAACCTGGTGGGACAGGGCGGAGGGAGTGCTGGGCCCTATGAACCCTGAATCTGATTTGGCACAGATGCTCCTCTTGGTGGACAAGTGCTCTGGTATATATTGGGGGAAGGGCGGGACCTGGCCTTCAGTCTCACCTCTTTCTTGGCTCTCCCCTAGACCAAAGGGGCATGCACTGCCAGGTAGAGGTTGTCCTGTGGTCTCAGGACTCTTTGGGACAGTTACTTCTGGAACTCCCCTTTCCCCTACCAAGCCTTCTCCCTAACCCCCCGCCCCCATGTTTCATGGCATCCTGACCCTCATGATTATGCTCTAGTGAAAGGCCCAGGTAGGCCCATAACTTGTGCCTTGGTTGGACTTTCAGCCCCTGGCTAAGTCTAAACAGTCTTCCACCTCCCAGCCCAAATCTGTCTTCCTTCCTGGTGTCCCCAGGGACCCCTCCTGGCCAGGATCTCTCGTGGGAAGACCGTGGAGTGGTTCTTGGCCCTCTGGACTGTGTGGGTGTGTTGGTAGCAGGCTTGCTCCAGGCTCCAGGCTCCAGCCTCTGACCTTGAGGGTTCCTGCCACCAGCCCACCACCCTCAGTGCCTTCTTTGCAGAGCCTACTATCACCTCACTCTCTCCCTTGGATGCCCGTTCTTTCTATTCCCCGGGTGCCTCCTTCCCAACTGTGGGGAGTTAAAAGGAGCCCCACTGCTGCTACCTGGGGGATGGGGACACCTGGGTCAAAGCAAAGGACGGGGGCTTCTGAGGGAGAGCCGCATCTGGGTTCCAGCACCAGCCCTGGTTCCAGCCTTGGTGCTGCCGGTTGCTGCCTCACTTCAGGCGCTGCTCTTCCCTCCTCTGCAGCTGCACGAAGGCGCCATCTAGTGTCGGGCACAAGTGTGGACCGCCTAGGAATGCCCACTGTGCCCTCCTTTTATCCTCCAAGAGGAAGTGGGAAGGAAGGAGGGTCTTGGGGCTGCTCAACTGTCTCCCCTTATGCTGAGCTTCTGTTGCAGCTCCCCCTGGAACTTAGCCGTACTGTGTGACCTGCCTCTGAACCCTGAGTGCCTGGGGGCACTGCCCTCCTCATGGTGGCCTTGCTTGGTCCACCCTGTCCCCGCTTCTTTTCACAGCATTACCCTTCCATTCTGGGCCCCACTGTATCTCCGTCCGGAGGGAGCCCCATGAGAGGTGGGTGAAATTGGATGATTGCTTTCCCAGAGGTCTGAGCAAGACCATCCCCCGTCAGTCTTGTGCCTCCCCTCCACCACAGACCAGGGGGCCCAGAGTCCAAGCCCCCTCCCTCCACAGCTGCTCTCTGCAGGTGGGGAGGAGCCAGGGCCCAACTTTAGCTTTAGCTGGACTGTGGGTCCCCTGCCAAGCAGGGAGGGTTTGGCTCTCAGTTCCTCAACTTTTTGCATGTGCCACCTTCAGTGGGACGCACACCTCAACTTTTTGCATGTGCCACCTTCAGTGGGAACCACGCCCAAAGAGACCACTCTGGGCCACGTCACCTGTGCCTTGTACACCCGCTCCTCTGTCTCCAGTGCTCCTTGCACAAGGCGGTGGCAAGCCCAAGTCCCATGGCCTCAGAATTCCCCCACTTCCCCAGGTGCCTCTGGGGACTTATTTCCTATTTTGGCCAGATGCACCTGGTCCTGAGGGTAGGACAGAGGGAGTTTGGAGACTTGGGCCTTTGTGATGCCATGGACTGTGGATGGAGAATGTGCAGTTATTTATTTTGTGTACTCAGTCTGTAAAGGTATTCTCTACTCAATAAACAGGCTGCCTTCCCCAGGGAAAGCTGCCCCTTCATTGACAGCACGGCCTTCTTGCTGTGGACCAAGGGGTTGCCCAGGAGGTGGTAGGGTGGTAGGGGGAGCTCAGCCCGGACATAGCTAGTCTAGGAGGATCTTGACTCCTCAGCACATGTTGGGCCAGAGGACAGAGTTCACTTGGGGAGTGGAACCCCCAAAAGCCTCTCCTTTTCCCTGAACCAGGAAGACAGAATAGACAGCAGGACGGGGGTTATTTATTGGACCCCAGCGGAGCCTGTGGTGGGCTCAGTTGTAGGCTCTGACCTGATTGACTGAGGTACTGAACCTGCTGACCTGAGTGTACGTGGCAGGCGTGGGCACACTGCAGTCACTGGTGCTCCAGGAGACAGTATCAGTGAGCACCCATGTGTTCCCCTTCTGGCAGACAAGAGGCCTCCAGAATCACCCTGGAGGAAGGAGAGGGGAGAAGTCTTCATGGGGAGTGGGGGTACCACAGGAAAGTGCAGAGAACAGGTCAGGGGTCCAGCGCTCACCTGGCACAAGGAGGCCCCTGCACCGATCATGGAGCTGGTGATGCATGAGACCCAGTACTGCTGGCACCATCTCACGGTGACCAGGGGCAGAACTAGCCACCGCAGGTGTGCCTGAGTCACACTGCCTATGGGCCGGGCGGGGGTGGTTAGGCCCCAGATGGCTTACCCCTACCCTTCCCTTCCACCCAGATTTTTGACCCAAGTTCCTACCCACACCACTGAGGCACCCAGCCGGCCATGTGAGGCCTTCAGGCAGTGCCTCATTTGAGGAAGCCAGGCAAACTGGTGAGATGCACATTGTGTACTGGGCTGGGGAGCCGAGTGTCAGTAATGTGAGATCATTGTTCATGGTGGTGGGATTCCAGGAAGGGTGCCTGTGGAGCCAGGAAGGGGCCGTGTAGGATGGGCGTGGGCACAGGTCTCCAGGGTGATGGGTGCCAGGGGTTAGGCCAGGGCATCCTGTAAGTTCCTCACCGCCACAGCCTACACACCTACACTGCCTATCCTTCCTTTCCCATCTGCAGCCCAGGCACTCACCACGAGATGGACAGACCTGCAAAGGCTGAGCCCCAGATACTCAGTTGTACTCACCCAGGATGACAAAGTGGCAGCCAGGGCTGCAGTGAGAGTGGGGTTGGGCAGCCAGAGGGAGGGCAGAGTGACAAGAGCGGGGCCTCCAGAGCAAGGCGGTGGGGAGGTGGGGCAGGGAGAGGGGAAGCACACCCACAGCATTGCAGTGGGCAGCCGTGACCACCCAGGACTGGCCGATGAGGGACCCATTGCAGAAGCAGAAGCCTTTGCTGTCCTGGGGTCAGGGGTTAGCAGTGGGGGGTGGGCCCAGGCTACACCCAGGCATGAAACACCTGAGATCCTGCCCCACCGCCAGGGTCCTGCACCTGCAGGGACACCTCCCAGGGCCAGGAGCCCGGCACTGTGTTCTTCCCATTGACAGTCCTCTGGCTGAAGTGCAGCACTGGTTTAATGGCAGGAACGCCACAGCCTGGCTATTTGACTGGAAAGGACCTGCTTCCTGCATCCCAGCCCATTTCTCTCCTGGGTGCCCCCAGGCTGTGTCTCCAAAGGGGTCTAGATCAAGAGGGCTCTTAGCACTGCTCCTTCTCTCGTGAGCACCTCTGGGCCTCTACAGCAATCTCAGCTGCCCTATCCGACCAGCCCCGAAGTCCTGTCCATTCTCCCACATCTGTCTCCATCCTACTCACACCAGCTCTACTCCACCCCCCCATCCCAGGCCATTCTCCCTGACCCAGGTGTACGTAGTCCCCTTCCTTCCTAACCTCTCCATTGGCTCCAGACCTCAGCAGTCTGGACCCCACATACAGCCAGATGGCTCTTCTTAAACCGCACATCCACCTTTTGCTTTAAAGCTTCCTAAACCCTGCCCTGCTCCTGGACCCGGCCCAAGCTCCTGTCCCACTTGGGAGACTGGCCCCTGCCCACCACCTCTTGCTTTCTCCCAGCCCTGCCACATCATTTTTCCTTTGCCCACTCTGTCTACCTGCTTGCCTTCTAGCCACCCCAGCCCCTTCTCTGAGCCCCTGAGCAGGAAGCCTGGGCTGGTATTGGGTTGCCCCAAGGCTGTTCAGTCAGGGCTGGGCCAGGCCCACTCACCCCAGGAGGAGCCAAGGAGGACCAGGCTAAGGGTCAGTCTGAGCAGCAACATTACAGCAGACTTGAGGCTGAGAACTGGGCCTGGCTTCATGGGTCTCCTTGTCCTTGGGCCAAAGTCCCAGGAGTGAAGCCAAGGAGCTCCTTTCCATGCTGCGTCAGCAGGAGGGTTCTCCTGTTCAGAGCCCTCCACCCAGGCCTTATCAGGTAGAGCCCAGGTTGAGGCTCTCACCTCCTCCATCCCCCAAAACCTGGCCTCTGATTGGCTCCCCACCTCACATCCCAAGTGTTGAGCACCAGGTACTAAAGGCTTGTGCTTAGCCTTAATGATGACCACCTGGTGGCTGGTATCTACCTGTACAGCTCTACTGTGGAGAGCCAGGGCCAGTGGCCAGGACAGGGCAAATCCTAACACATCATCTCAGTGATTCCTTATCAACTTGGAACAGAAGTCATGGTTTGCTCAGGGAGGTGGTGACTCTCCTGCCACATGGTGTGTTTGGACCCAAAGCTTCATCTGTCTGGTTCCAGAGCCCACACTGTTCATGATGATATCTAGGAAGGGTCTTGTGCACAGGAGGGCAAGGTATGAGCTCTTGGTGACTGACCGACCCTGGATGGAGGCCAGGGGTAGAAGGGTGACAGCCATCAGACCTGACAGCGTCCAGGCCTTGGGGCTCCCATGGACAAGCCCTGGTATCTACAGCCCCTTCACTGAAGAGCTCCAAGCCGAGCCTGAACTGCGGGAGAGAAGACACCCGTGCGCAGAGTTGCAGTGGGTACGTTGGTTTGCCTCTTCTAGGAGTGTGAGCACTGTGGCTGATTCAAGAACACACCAGTCAAAACAAGAAGAAGAAAACAGATAAGTTAATTGTTGACTGGAGAGAAGGATAGGTGATAAATATAACAAAATACTAATTGTAAAGCCTGTGGTGGGTATATAGGTGTTTAGTGTGCAATTTTTTTTTTTAAACCCAAACTCTCTGATGGTTTTCAGGGAGATTTTTTTATTTTTTTATTTTTATTAGTTAGAGGCTAATTACTTTACAAAGATTTTTTTTAATATATATATAATTTTATTTATTTTTGTCTGTGCTGGAGCTTCGTTGCTATGCAGGCTTTTCTCTGGTTGTGGTGATCAAGGGCTACTCTTCGTTGCAATGCCCAGGCTTCTCATTGAAGTGGCTTCTCTTATTGTGGAGCACGGGCTGTAGGACACATGGACTTCAGTAGTTGCGGCACGTGGGCTCGATTGTTGAGGTTCCCCAGCTCTAGAGCACAGGCTCAGTAGTTGTGGCCCATGCTCCTCAGTATGGAGGATATTCCTGAACCAAGTAGCAAACCCCTGTCTCCCGCATTGGCAGGCAGATTCTTTTACCACTGAGCCACCAGGGAAGCCCCCAGTGTGCAATTTTTTCAATTTTTATGTTTATAAAAATAAAAATCTTCATAATAAAACACTGAGGGAAGAAGCACAATCAGGGACCTAGGGATGTCCAGCCTGGAGTAGGCTCTCCCCAGGGATTGGGCAGATTCTAGCAGCTCCAAAGCTCCAGGGGAATTCAGCCATTCTCTCCCAGGGCAGGATGCTCCCACCGGCACCTAGCACCTGGGTGCTCAGCAAAGCTGGATAAATGTGTTATGTCATCTCTTCCCATGTGAGCCCTGTGACCCCTGGCAATCAGAAAAGTGTCAGTCTCCCTCGTCATAGCCCAACAAGTGCAAACAGAAGCTCAGCATTGTGTTAGTACCTCAGGTCTGCCTGGTCATCAGAGGGGTTTCACAGATAAAGGCCTTGTAGGAGTGTGCTTGTGAGAACTTGACCTTGGAATCAGGAAGCAGCTCCTACATCAGCATTTTAGCCATAGTGGGGCAATGGGGGTGGGGGGGTCTGACTGGGAGCAGTGGGCTTTGTCCTTGGTCACTGATGAGGCAGGTAAAGGCTCTAGGTGGGGGCAGTACTTAGAGCCTTTTGGGTTGTACAGTGGTCTCCAGTGGACCAGAGGGCAAGAGCCAGGCATGGGAGTGCTAAGGGGAGCCTCCATGGTATGGAGAGGGGGCTTTCCACCTTGAGCCTGCAATGCTTGCCAGGCTGGGGTTCTAGAGGGGTAGATGATTAAGGTGGTGAATGAATGGTGCCCCTCAGGCCAGACTCGGCAGCCATGGGAGGGAATGGCCTTTGCAGGGACACCTTAGCCACAGAGCCCTGCTGGCTGCTGTTCCCCTCCACCCAAGTATGACACAGTCATCTGTCAAGGTAGGTGTTTGTGTTTTCTGGGTTTATTCCTCTTTGTTCCAAGCTCTAAGCCTCAGCCTACTTCACTCCACATCCATGGCCTGCATAGTTTCCTCCACCAGCTCCAGAGTCAGCGGCACCACTGTCTGGGACAGGACAGGTGTGGTCCCAGGGGCAAAGCAGTACTGGCTGGACCTGGGAAGAAGCAGGGATGACCCCTCAAAAGGGGCCCATCGAGTGTCCCGTCCTCTATTTATAGCCCTGTCTTCCCTCACTACCATCCCATCCATCCTCCCCTGGGATTCCTCCATCCCCGGTGCTCCTACCTCTCTATAGGCTTTGTGGGAGAGCTCAGGGCTCGCAGCATCTTGGCGCCAGCCGCGGTGATCACACATGCATCCACATTGCCCCCAGAGCCCAGGTCACCCAGGATCCCTGCAGTGATGGCTTCCACCAGCAGCTCCTGCGCTGCCTCCAGCTGCAATGATGTGTCAGTGAGGCCTCATGGACCCTTCTAGATCGCCCTTAGGCTGTAGCCTGGAGACAGTTCATCTTGAAGCCAGGCCTCATTTGCTCACACCCAAACTCCCCTCTCACCCTACACCCCCATATCCACCCCAAGCTCCTCTACCCTGGTTTCAGTTTCCCCCTGTACAGTGACCCCATATTCCCACTGCCCCCATCTTCACAAACTTCTGAGTCACACTTGTGGCTCTGCTTCCACTGGCCTGTTCACCCACCCCCAATTCCCCACTCACTGCCTTTTCTTTCTGGGCCTTAGCCGCCTATAAAGTGACATATGCCTTCTGCTTCCATCCATCCCAAACAAAATCCAGACCCCAGACCCCACCTGCTGTTCCTCTCTCCTCAACTTCAAATGGCACTCTGAGGTTTGACTTCTGAGGCAGTCCAAGCTTTGGCACTGTTAGAATAGCACCTCACCCTCATCCCACTGGCCCCTCAGTCTCCACTCAGTCGTCACCTCCGAGAAGCCTTCCCCGACTAGGCCAGGGTTCCTCTGCGTTTCCCCGCTCGCGGGTGCACTTCCCATCAATGCTCGCGTAATGTGGTGGTGGTGGTGGGGTGGGGCAGGTGTCACTCACCGTCATGTTCGGCTGGAACCGATCCTCCAGCACTGCTATGGCCGCATCCTGGCCGGATCCTATAAGCAAGAGGGGCATCTGAGATCAAGTGCGGCCGCCCAGTCGTGGGAAAAACGTTGAGGTCAGGGTGGCATAGCGAGGTTCGTGGGGAGCGGGCAGAAGCGCTCACCCAGGGCCGTGAAGGGCAGCCGGCTGTAGGAACCGTGGGGGTGCACGCTGTAGAGCTGCGGTCCTGTGAAGTCCACGCCGCCCACGATCAGCGACGCTCCCACGTAGCCCTGGTACCTTTTCGCCGAATGGGTACGGTCAGCGGAACGCACCGGAGGCCAGGTCCCGCCCCGCCCCGAAACCGCCCCTGCGTCCGAACCCGCCCTCTCCCGCGGTCTGGCTCCCCATAACTGACAGCGCTCCTCGCAGTCTGCCTCTTAGCTCCTTTTAGGCCCGCCTCTTCCGTGCTCTCGAACCTCGCAGCCCCGCCCTTCCCGCAGCTGCCCCTCCTCAGGGTCAGCTTAGACCCGCCTCAGCACCGGAAGAGCATCTGGCGCAGCATGCGGGTGACGGTGGCCACGCGGGACTCGCGGCCCGTGGAAAGTGCGTGTAGCTCCATGTTGGACGCCGCCATCCGCGTGGTCATCTCGGCGTCCGCGGCTACTCCAGCCCCACAGCAGCTGAGGGCGAAGGGAGGGGTCTGTGCGGGCGTTGCTGGGAAGTGCTGGCACCCGGGATGGGAACGAGGGGGCGGCTCTTGGAGGGGGAGAGTTAGGCAGGGGAATGCTCACTAGATTTTGGGGGCGATGAAGTGGATCTTTTCGCAGATCTTGTTCGCGACGACCGAATCGTCAGTGGCCCGTGTATCCGCGCCCAACATGACCCCGTCCTGGGGGTCGGGGGGAGGAGCCGTTGGCCTAGTCCCCACGTCCCGCTTCCCGCCGCCCCTCCAGGCCGCGCCATCCCAGCTCCCTGCTTACTTGGAACACAAGGCCTGCAATGGTGGTCCCGGTCTTGCGTGCGTGAGGGACCCGGAGCCCCGGGAGGGCGCGTTGCAAGGCTGCATTTCTGGAAACGGAGAGGAGAGGCCCAGGTTTCAGTTTTTCTGGGACCCCCATCACATCCACCACCTCTGTCCCGGTTTCCCTCACCTCCTGGGGGTAAACCTGGGAACCCAAGTCGTTCAACACACGTACCTTACCCCACTCTCGCCCCCAGGAATTTTAAAGATCCTAGGGTGCTCACTCCCGGAAACCCTCGCTGAAGGGCATAGGCAGCTGGGGAACCAACCATTCCCACCCTCACCTCTCACAGTTCTCGAAGGAGAAGCCCCTTTGGGGCTCTAGCACTGTCTTCTGCATCTCCAGATGGGCAGGGAGTCAGAGGAGTGGGATCAGCAGGAAAGAAAGAAGGCGGAAGGTTTGTCCTCTGCCGGGCTGCACTACTGAGTTTCCCCCTTTCGCTTTCACCTTTCCTTAGAGCATGCTGGTCCTTTTCTGCATCTGCTCTTTCACTTTCACCTTCAGCTCTGGTCTTTCGCAGCTTAGGAAGAGGGGAGATGTCCCTTGCCTGGCACTCCAAGTTGCTCCTGGGTCCTGTGTCTGAACAGAGGGACAAATTCCTCCTCTTTGGCCATTGTCCAGCCTGAGCCCCGGGCTCTGCCTACCCTGACCCCACCTCTAACTTCAAGTCTCAGTGCCCTAAGGCTATCACATTGACCAGTTCTGTTATTATTTATTACCCGTCTTCAACAGCATCAGTCATGGCTGCCTTTTGTCCTTCTCCCAACTCCTGCCTCTTGTTTGCTGCCTTTGCCTTCTTCCCAAAACCCAAACACTGAGGCTCAGTCCTCTCGGCCAGGGTGATGCTGATCTGTCTTCCATGTTTCAGATGCCGTCTTCCCTCATGGGAAGGCATCATGGTTGTCCCTCAGGTGGCCTGTAGACATGCTGGGCTCTGCCCATGGCCAAACCTTATTTCACCTCCCATAGGACCCTTTATCTAGCCACTTCTTTCTCTGGATTACTGCTTGTCTCAGCTAGCATCCTCTCCCCGCTGGGCACAGCACTGGCCTCCCTGGTTTCCCAATTCCTGCCCTTCACCTTCCACCCCAGACTACACTCCATGTTACACAGAGCTCTTTTCTAGGTTGGAAATCTGGCCACACTCTTTCCCTGGTTAAACCCTGTATCAGTTGCACACAGCTCTCAGGCTCAAACGAGTCTTTACAGTCACCCTTCTCATTCATTCCATCTGATCTCTGCATTGGCAGCACCTCCTCTGGGAAGCCTTTCCTGACCCACAAGACTCGCCACCTTGTTGCTCTCTATACTTTTCTCTCAGATCACTTAGCTCCATTACCTAAAAATTAAATCTTCACTAGGAAAGTGACCTGTTTAATGACTCTTTTAGATTCTGAACTCTTGTGCTTCTGTCACCCACCTAGCACTCAAAAGCCTCTGTCCAGAGGCGGGGTCTCGCCTGCCCTTTTGGGAGCTAGGAGGGACATTTCAGATCTTTCACATCCTGTACCCTTGGCTCCGTGTATGCCCATTCCACGCTGTGTGTGCAGCTGCCTCCAGTCCCCATGCCCAGAGCAGAGGCAGGCACAGGCAGGCTGCTTAAACAGCTCAACCAGCAGTTTGCGCATGCTAAATCGCTTTAGTCGTGTCCGTCTTTTTGTGACCCTGTGGACTGTAGCCCACCAGGCTCCTCTGCCCCTGAGATTCTCCAGGCAAGAATACTGGAGTAGGTTGCCATGCCCTTTTCATGGGAGGGTATACATCTCAAGGTGCCCAATTCAGTCCCAGGCTTTAGCAAAGCTCTTCACTCCACAAAGCACCAGGCCTGCGGCTGCGGATGAATGCATCCTTTGTGAGGACCCTAGTGGCTTTCCTTTAACCCACAACACACATGTCAGGGCTTTTAACAGCAAAGGAATGTCTTTATTCAGGGGGCATGGGCTTTGGGCTGGCAGTCGGGGGTACAGCAGTGCTATTTCGGTAGGTACCCAGCAGAATGGCATTGATGTGCTCCAGTGTCTGATTGCTGAAGACCATGTTGAGGTGCTGTGTCCCAGGCAGAGGCAACAGGTGCACGGGCTGTTTCTGGCGGCCCTGCCAGCGGGCACAGAGCTCCGTGCTGCGCGTGGCTACAGTGTCATCACCATCCTCATATAGCACATCCACGGGGTCTGTGTAGGGGAAGCCGTGGTCATAGATGTAGGTGCTGGGCGTGGGCAGGCCTATGCCATACAGACAGTACACTTCCACGCCAGGTGCTGGGAGGCCTGCCAGCAGGTCACGTGACTGGAGCCACATGTACCAGCCTTCCTCAAAGTGCAGGTCTGTAAAGAAGCGCTGCATGTCACGGCTTGTGTAGTTGATGCTGGGGGTGGAAATGAACACGTGGTCCTCAGGCCACGTCTGCCTGGCAGGAAACATCCAGGGTGATGTTGTCGTCATGCGCTGTTCCTCTTTCAGCTTGATGCTGGACATGATTGGGATGCCCTGGTTGTCACCTGGGGACAGAGAGCAAGGTGGGGCAGGGCTGGAGACAGCAGGCCCACAACTTGCCCCCCAACCCAAGCTCAGTTGGACACTCAATCTTGTCCTTGCCCAATCCAAACACAGACTCCAAGTCCTAGACTAGAACCGGCCTAGCATTCTGGAGGTGCTCATGTGTACTTGTTAACTGAGAAGCCCCGATGGCACCTCTGACAGGGAGAGCTGGAGGGCTTCAACAGGAGGGTCGGGGAGCAGTGTTTCCTGAGGACAGGAGCGTGAGTTGGGGGATATAGTACTAGCAGTTCTGTCTCAGGCAAGTGTCTGTCGACCCTTGTGGCCTGTGCTGTACAGGGCTCAGAGCTGTGTTCTGGGAAGGATGAAATGAGACCCATCTCTGACACACATTGATGTGGTCTGGGGAGTGTTTCCTTCACTTCAGCTCCTAGGGGTAAGACCATGTCCAGCTGTGTTCAGCCTCCAGTAGGTGCTCCACATGAGGTGTCTGTCCTCGGGGAAGAGCAGGAAGGGCTCCTGGGGTCTGGCCCTGGCTTTGGCAGATCTGCTGTGGCCTAGCTTAGGGAAGATCCGTGTGCAAAGCAGCTCCTGGGAGCTGAGTGGGTAGACCTGAGGCCACGAGGAACAGACTTCAGTCAGACTCAGCAATGAGTCAGATTGCTGGGATTCGCTTCATCTTTACCTCCCCTTTGTCATCGCTGAGACAAACTCAGGAGTTTGTCTAACAGTCCAGGCTGGGCTCACTGCTCTCCAAGGACAATGAAAGGGGCTATTTCCCAGAGGTGGTAGACAACACCCCCCTAGCTGGGCATTGTGAGAAGAAACAGGAGTAGGGGCAGGCCCATGGTCAGCTTCTTTCCACCACCGCCCCCCCACATCCTGTGGGACCCAAGTGATCACAGGCCCTCTCACCTGAAGCCAAGACTAACATAGGCTTGATGGAGCCACCCCAGGGAGCCCCGAGAGAGATGAAACCATCAATGAAGCGGTCCTTCCAGGTCTGGGGTTGGCGCAGTAAGAAATAGAGCAGGTGCAGGCAGCCAAGACTGTGCCCAATGAGGAAGACAGGCTTCCCATATGTAGCATGCATCTCCTCCACCAGTCCAGCAAGCTTCAGGTAGTACTCCTCCTGCTGGCCTGCAGGGGGCTGGGTGGGTCAGTATGGCTGGAGGTGGGGGCCTCCGCCCCGCCCCCCAAGCCCCCTAAACATAGAGACACTCACTAGGCTCCAGCCGCCAGTCGTAGGGGGCGGCCCGCACTGTCTCATCCCGCACGTACCCATTGTTGACCAGGTTCTGTACCAGTGTGTGCATATAACCTGTGGGGGAGGCGGCGGCATCAGAGGCTGTGGCCATGGCCCCTGCAAGCCCAACACAGCCTAGAGCCCAACCCTCTCCCTCAGCACACACACACCTGCCAACTTGCTGCTGTCCAGGTACTCAACAGAGTAGGTCTTGCCAAAGCCGGGGACACGGATCTGTACACCGGGAGCATTGGACACCCTCCCAGAGCTGCGATTGTACACAACCCTGGGGGCAGTGGGACATTCAGCGGACCTGCGACCAAGGAGCAGGGCAAGGGACTAGGCCAGAGGTGACAGCACCCACCTGGTGTTGTCAATCCAGCAGTCTACCCCAAGGGGCAGGAACATGTTGAGATCTAGCCAGATGGTGAAAAAGTCCTCTGTCTTGCGGTAGCACATCCAGTTCACCACACTCGGTTTATCCAGCTTGGCTTCCAGCTGATTCCCCAGGCAGCCAGGCACTGCGGGCACCAGCCTTCACTCTGGATCCCTCCCATTCCCCCGCGGTAGACCCCACCCCACCCTCACCTCCCCGACAGCCCCACCCCTTCCTCTCCCATACCCACCATCAACCCCCAGAGACAGGACAAGATCCTCTCTTTTTGTTCATATCCCCTGCTCCATCTCCCCAAAGTCCAGACTCCCCCCAGGGAGGGAAGATCCAGGGGCCAAGGCCACTGACCCCTGCCCCCACAGAGCAAACAGCTAGCATGATTCTCCATCTCTGCTAAAGTCCAGGAGGCGAACAAATAATGTGGGGAGCGGGGACAGGACCTGACAGGCCTCTCCTGCTCTCCTGGGCTGGGCCCATCATCCTTGCCGGGGTGGGGGCTGAGGAAGGAGCGGTGGGGAGGGAGGGGGGCTGGACCCAGGGTCTGGCTACAGCTACAGCTGACCACAGCTTGTAATGCCCTGGCCAAGCCCTCTGGCACACCCACCCTCCACTCCACCCACCTGGGGGAAGATACCTCGGAGACACAGGAACAGAAGGGGTGGATTTCTCCTCAGGACAAGCCTCTGGCGCCTCCAAACACTGAGGCAGGAATTGGGGCTAATGCATGGGCAGAAGGGCATCGGCAGGCTCTGCTACCAGGGGCGGGGGCCCCAGTTCCCCAAGGGCTGGCTGGGTATATCAGGGGCCTGGAGGGGGCTTACCGAGGATGACGGGCCGTGTGTGGTTACTGAGCTCGGCCTTGGGCGTGGTGTGCGGGGGGAACAGCACATTGAAGAGCCAGAAGGGGGCGGCTGGGGGGAGCAGCAGCCCCAGCAGCAGCAGGACCCACTGCCGCGGGGAGCCGGGCAGCCCCATTCCAGCCCTAGTGCCTGGTGCCCGGTAAAGCGGTCCTGGGCTGGCCTTATCTGGAGTGGGGGTGGGAGGGGCCCCAGGGCCAGTGGGAGGGACAGCCTGGCCAATGGGGCTGGCCAGTGGTTGCCGGAAAGGGGCATAGTGTCAGGGAGCCGGCTCTGGGCCTGGATTCAATTCCGCCTTCTTACCCCGTGCCAGAGGAAACAGAGCTGGGGCAGCAGGAGGCCCAGAAGTACACAATGTTTTATTGAAAAAAGTCAGGCTTCAGCTGGCTGGTTCCATTCAACTTGGCTTGGTGGGGGTCCCCGCCCACAGGAGCTGAGTCACATCTTCCTGCAGGCAGGCTGGGCCGGATCCCTCCCTCGTCACCCTTCCCCTCCTCTCTGATGGTGACATCCAAACAATAAATATGCAATAAATAGCGCTCCCGGGTCAGCTGCCTTCAATCCCCACATCAGCCCCCACCAGTCTTCTCCAGTCAGGACAGGCATCTTGGCGTGCTGGACGGGCAAGTCCCCGAACCTCTCAGGGTCCTGCGGGACCTCGGATCCATCTCCATGGCCAGGTCTGGGCCCAGGCTCCAAGGAGACCTAGTAAAGCTGGGTCCAGGGTGAGGCCAGGCAAAGTGGGGCTGGCAGGTGGGTGCTGGAGGGGGGCTGTGTGTTAACCCTGGACACCTTCACTCTAGGCCACAAGTCTGTACTGGGCTCAGGAGTAGATGGTGATGACTTCACGGCCACCACCACGTACCAACAGCACTCGTTCGAGGCCCTCAGTCAGCACCTCCAGGAACTCCATGTCTGTGGGGCATCAGTCAAGGAAGCCACATCCAAGGAAACACCCAGGGAAGACTGCCCCATCAAGCAGAGCTGGGGTACCTGCAAACGCTCAGGGCATCCAGGGACAGGAGTGCCCAGCCTGACCTCATACACTGCCCACCTACCCACCAAAGGATCCAGTTCTCATCACCCTCGCTGTTCTTGGGTGGGCCAGGCATGTTCAGTAGGACCAGGCGGGCATCATGGGAGCGTGTGACAATGACTTCATTGAGCTTCACGGCCGTGTGCATGCGCCGCACATTAGACTGGTCCCTGCAGATAACATGGCTGATCATGGATCCCACCCCTGGACCACCCCACCGGGCTTATCTGCCCCCATCCCACCTCCGCCCCCACGCCTGGATACGGCTGGGTCCATTTCTGCTGCACTCACGGCTTAATATGCACCAGTTCCCGGAAGTTGTCGGGCGTGTGGCTGGGGTCCCAGGGCTCCGTGGCCATGTACTTGTCCCGGGTCCATGTCATCTGGATCTTGTCAGTCCCAGCTGCAGACTCATCCTCCTCATCCGAGTACAGGCTCTCCAGCCGCAGGGCCGAGTGCCGGTCCTTGACTAGCTGGGCCTGAGGACAACCAGAGGAGGGCGCCTCAGCGCTGTGGGGGGCCAAGCTGGCCCAGCGTGATCACCCAGCCTCAGGGAAACAAGGGGGGCTGCAGTGAGTCATTCTGATGCTCCCACTTGATGGCCTATCCCAAGGCAGGACCCTGCCCTGAACCGAGGAAGGTCACTGACCTCTCGTTCCCTCTCTGTCTTGGTCAGCCTCATCTGCCGCAGCATCTGGGAGCGCTGCTCCATCATCAGTGTCCGCTCGTAGGTATATGCAGAGATGTCGCTGTTGTGCTGGGGAGTGGGTGAGCTGTGAAGACCGGGCTATGGGGGTGGGGCAGGGCATCCATGGGGCTATGGTGGGCAGGGGTCTCACCATCTCCACCACCTCCACCTCTGCCTCGAGACGTAGGTGATATAGGAAGATGGCCAGATCCTTCTTCATCTGGATGCTGTTGTCGTCCATCTGGGCCACCGTGAAGATGCGCATCCGGCATTTCCTCCAAACCTGCGGCCACGGAGGGTGGTGGTTCAGGCGCACCCCTTCCCTGCACGGGCCCAGCCCCTCGCACCACGGCCTGAGCGCCTGGCCCACCTTGTGCTGGCGCAGCAGGAAGGGCAGGAGCATGAGCATGCCGCCATCGTGGACAATCCACCACACGTCGATGTGGCCCTCCAGGTAGCGCTCATGGTTGCTGGGGTAGAAGGCGATGTTCTTGGGCACGAGCAGGGCCAGGTGGGCAGCTGTGGTGCAGCGCACGGTGTCTGGGGAGGAGGGGCACTATTGATTGTCAGCCCATGACCCTCTGGCCTCTGCCCTCGCTTGACCCCTGACCCCTGCCCTCTGTGGTCAAGCCCAGGCCCTGAGTCTCACACACCAATAAAGGTCTTCCAGGCGCGTGGGTCCTCACTCTGTCGCCAGCCATAGGGCCAGCCCAGCACCACGGTGTTGTGCCTCATGCCTCCCAGGCCGCAAGACTGGATGAGGTGGGCCAGCCCCTCCCGCACCTTGCTGGCCACCACCACCTGGCAGAAGCCCTTCACCTTCTCAATCTCCATCATGTTCTTGATTGTCTGTGGGGAACATACCCCGGTCAGAAGGCAAGGCCATCCATGTCCCCTCTGCTGGGTTCCCTGCCCAGGCCCCAGGGTACAGAGCTGCTTGGTGGTGGGTGAGGAGATGGCGGCAAGCTGTCCACCCAGAGACCATGCTTGCAAGATGGAACCTTCATACCCACCTGGCTCCTGCTGTCAGCTCTCGCCTGGCTGGCCAGGACTGGACCCCTCCTCTCTGCACCAGATACAGCCCGGACATCTCCAGTCCGGTTCAGGGTCCTCCCACCCCCGACTCCCGCCCCAGCAGTACCTGCTCAGCAGCCTGGGCCTCGCCGTAGCTCTCCAAGAAGCTGCCCTGGATGACAGAACCGACGATGGTCAGGCCCTTGCCGGCTTTAAGCTGGGAGGCGAAAGTGAGGAGCCGCGGGTACTTCACGTGAAGGTCCTCATCTAGCTTCAGCAGCACCAGTAGCTGAGGCCTGAGTGGCCGGATGGAGAGGTGGCCTGAGACTAGGGCCAGAGGTCTGCAGGGAGCCCAGCTCCCTCCTCTCTTGGCTCACAGGCCCCCTCAGGTAGCAGTGATCCAAGGGCCTGATAAGCAGGACGGCACCCCTGGCAGTTCAGGACAGGGAACACAGACTAGGGAGGGAAGCCAGTGACTCGTGACTCTTCCCTCTCACAGGGCCGCCCCCTGAGAACCTCGACTGTCCCCGCCAGGCCCGGGTGACTCACCGCCAGTTCTTGGTGTGAGGAGGGCCCTCCTCTAGCCGCAACAGGGCATAGCGGGCGGCGCTCAGGGACAGGCCTCGGATCCCATCGCCCCATTCCTTCTCAGCCCTGCAGGAGCCCCCGAAGGCTAGTGAGTCCCCACCCAGGACTTGTGTCCATGTGTATGTGGGATGGAAGGGACCAGGCCCAAGTCACAGCCCCCCAGCCCCAGCGGCACAGTGGCTTAACGAAGGATGGCTCAGCTCTCCACACCCAACTACAGCCCAGCCCAGCAGCCCCGAGGACCCGAGCGGGTGGCACCCGCACTCACCCTTGGTACTCAATGTACTTGTAGATCATGCCAGCGATGAGCATGGCGACCAGGGCGTAGTACCAGGAGGAGACAAACATCAAGGCCAGGCAGAGGCTCATGCCCAGGAAGGACAGTGCCCTGGGCCAGAGATGGGGGAAGGGCCAGAATCAGGGAAAGACCTCCCAGACTCTCACCAATAGAAACTGTTGCCCAGAAAGTTTAAACCCCATCCAGAATGGTTTCCCACAACCTGGCTCGGGCCCAGCTGGCACGTACCAGTGATAGTACTTGAACCGAGGCCGCCAGTTGGGGGTCCTCAGGAGTGTCTGCACAGCACAGGCGAGGTTCACAAACAGGTAGCACATCAGGAAGAACCTGAGGCACAAGGAGCAGCTGGGACTGAGTGGCCCCCTTGGCAGCCAGGTACCTGATGTCCCGGACCCTCCCCAGGCTGGGCCTAGATGAGGAGCCGAGACTGTCACAGCTCTGCCCTGTGTGGTCAGGTGGGTCATCTCAGCCTCACTTCGCCCACACCAGGGCCAGATGTGGATGGGACACTGCGGTGGGACCCGCAGAGCCTAGTCTGAGGATGTTCCAGGCAGAAGGCCAGGGGGCTGTGGGCAGGGGGAACAGCTGTGGAAGAGGATGGTGTAAAGGAGAGTTCAGTGCCTGGATACATCTAGACAAAAGCCAGGCCTCTGGCCTGGGAGACCAGTTGGATGAGGGGCTTTCATGAGTGTGGGGAGAGGGCATCAGAGAACATGAGGAGGGCCATTTTGAGTCACTGCATTAGAGACACTTGAGGGACACTTCAGTGGGTGTGGGAGACCAGGATGGAAGAGGCCTACTGCATGAGCCCCCCAGGAAAGACAGAGGGCTGAGGGGAGTGGCTGCCTACCTCTGCCCTCAGCTGGTGGGTGAGCAAGGACAAGAAGGCAGGAGGGCTGACAAGACAGGGCAGGGACTCTCATGGTAGGGGCAGTGCTCAGTCCCGTTAGGGCTGCGGGAGGAGCAGCCACAGCATCAAGGCTGAGACACATCCTGACATGGGTGGTAAGGGGCCACCACCCAAGAAAACTGCAGCAAGGATAGTTTCAGGTGTGGGTGAAGCTGGGCGGTAACAAGTGGAGGTGTGTTGGGGGAACAAGAGAGCACTGACGCTGGCAGGCCTGGCTGTGGCTGGGGGCACAGCCTCGGGGGGAAGGGAGCTCAGTCCGTCCTACAGGCTGCATGGGGTGGTAAAGCGTGGCTCGGATGTAATGGAGCAAGCAAACGGAGCACCAGCTGTGCAGCAAGGTGTGTGAGGTGGGGCAGAGTGGCCCTGGCACTGGCAGAGGTGAACAGAGCAAGGACACGAACTCTGCCCCAGGAAACTGCTGCGTGTTTGCCACCTCCATCAGGGCACTGGCAGATTCAAATGTCCAGCTGACTCCAAAACTTTAAAAGCAAGCAACTTGCAAATAGGTGGATGGGACAGTGGTGCCTCATCAAAGGAGCTAAGACTGCTGCTTGCCCTGTCCTTGCTCTGGGGGTCTCTCACAGAGGCACAAGGGACCTACTGGTCTCTTTAAAACATCTGAGTAAGCACTGGAAAGCAGAGGTTCAGAAGGCTGAGCTCCGCCAGGCAAATATCCCCCAACAGCCTGACCCGTCTCCCAGCTGTGCCCTCAACCTTAGACAGGGTCACACAGGAGTTGCTGGGCAGGGCTCCTGGCTAGGGTGTGGCTGAGGGTGCAAGGAGACTTTCCCAGGACCCTTGCCCTGTCCTGGCCCCCAGCTCACATGGATAGAATGGGGGCCACCATGTCCAGGGAGGCAATGAGGATGCCCAGCTCAGCGATGAGTGCTGTCAGGAGGAGGGCCCACGTCGGTTCACCATTTGCCTTGCCATGACCGAAAACCTGCACACGCCAGGGGCAATGGGGTCAGAAGCGAAGAAGCTGGTCCCATTCCACACATCAGGTTACAAGTCACAGCCTGGCCTCTATCATCTCCAAGTCCCTCGGGCTCAAGTCACAGCCACACCTATCCTGACAGGTACTCCGCCCTCCAGTTCCCCAGGTTTCTCCGTTGTGAGTGAAGACAGGCCTTGGGGCTTCTGGGTCCAGGCAGTTCTGCCAGCAGCAGCTCTCCATGGATGGCTGCTTGGCCCTGGCCTTTGGCAGGATAACATGCACCCGGATTGACTGTCTACTTCTCTCCCTGGCCAGTGTGCACGACTAGAAGTACCCACATGGTGGGGGACTGTAAGAAGCTCACCCGGAGAAAAGGGATGATGTTGTCCTTGGCGATAGCCTGCAATAGGCGTGGTGCCCCAGTTAGGCTCTGCAGGCCGGCACCACAAGTGGAGAAGAAGGAGCCGATAACGATGACCCAGGGCGAAGGCCAGGCTAACGTGCCCACCACCAGGTTTCTGCTGACACCATCGCCGTACCTGCAAGGGCCAGGCTCAGACCATGCTCCATACAAGGAGCCCCCAAAACCCTGGCTGGGGCTGCCCAGTGTGAGGGTTGGCAGGGGTCAAGAAGGACAGCTACAGAGGCCAGAACTCTGGCCCTCAGCAAAGGCTAGTCCACCAGCGCCTATCCTTCCAGCCCCAGACCCAATCTGATGTCAGCATCCTCTTAGAAGCCAAAGTCCTGGTGGGACTGACCCACCACTGACAACCGGCAGCCTGAGGACATGTGTGGGACCACGAGTATGAGAGGGGCTGGGGTCTGGGCAGCAAAAGCTGAGCCCACAGCCACAGGGAGGGGCCCAGCTCACTTACTTGTCCCGGAGGACCACACCCTCAATGCAAGCACCAAAGAGAACCACGCTGCTGAAGTCTGTAGCCGCGTCAAGGAAAGCTGGACCTCGGTTGCCCCTGCTGTCCCCACTCACTCACCACGCAGGACCCCAGGGCCCCCCTCGCCCAAGTCTCAGGACACCTGCAGCTGAGGTTTCATGTCGGGTACAAACAAACCCCTTGAATGTGTGCATGTGTGTGAGGGGTGATGTATACATGCATGAATGTGTATACATGTCTGCATGTGCCAGACTTAAATACAAGGAAGTGCCTCTTGCCTGCGCACCCCCCTGCCACAATGCCAGGCCTAGGAAAGGATACAGACAAGGGAAGTGGTAACAATGGCCAGAATGGTCCCCACTGGGATGGACTTCTGCGCGTCTCGGAGGTCCCCAGAGCGGTTGGAACCAGCCATGATGCCTCCAAAAACAATGAGACTCCCTCAGGGGCTTCCTCGAGAGTGGGGGCAGGGAGCGTGGGTGGGCAAGAGGGCTTACCTGTTACTGAGGGGAAGAAGATGCCAACCAGCACAGTGAAGGACGTGGTGATGTCAGCCACCACGTACAGGGGCAGGCTCTCCTTCAGGCCAAGGGCATCCCTGGAGGGCAGCCCATGCTTCTCCACGACCTCACCCTTCTCCAGGTAGGTGCTCCACAGGTTTTCTGTGGGGGCAGCTGCATCACCACTGCAGCCCCAGGGAAGTCTGGGGCAGCCCAGCCAGGGGCTGCAGGTGTAAGAGGTTCTGGGGGCTCAAGGGGGTGACCTCAGCCTGATGGCTGTGGTTTCAGCCACAGGGCCACTCTGGCTACAGGGAAGGACTGGCTGGCTGGAAGGTAAAGGTGGCTGAACCGCCATTGTCGGCCACTGCCTGCCTCTGAGACAGAGGCCCTTTATGACTCCTGTGAGAACTATCCCAGGCAGGGTCAGGGGCTGGTGGCTGGGGAGAGAGGGGCTGCCAGAACTTTCTGGGAGGCTGCTGCAGGCCTGGGACACTGGCCAAAACAGGCTCCGTTCAACCGAAATTTAGCTGCCAGGAGCTGGGCTGAGAGGACACTGCTGGGCTGGGAAGGCAGCCAGAACTGCCTCCCGTCCCTGAGCTGGCCACACAAGGGCGGCTCTGTGCTACCCTGTCCCTCCATGCTCGTTCCCTCCTTCTGCTCTGCTGCGGGGGTCGGGGGCGGGGGTGAGCAGGCGGAAGGGAGCACACACCCTGGAGTACACCGGCAGCTGCACCAGGGATGCCGGGGATCTCAGTCACATTGTTGAGCAGGAAGTAGGGGTCGCAGGCCTCAGCCGTGAGGTTGGGGCTGTGGCAGAAGAGGCTCCAGAGCTGGGTGCCCACTGTCTCATTGTCTACCACGGCCGTCTTGGCGCAGACATCAAACTGGTCCCGGGACAGTGTCCTGTTGCCCAGCATACATACTCTGTGGGGCGTGGGGGAGGTGAAAGCATCAGCAGCTGCTCAGCCCAAGACCCCAACTTGCTCCCATCCGGCAGCCTCTACAGAGAAGGCCATCCATGTAGGCAGGATGTCAGTGTAATGCCTGGAGGTACTCCCAGGTTACTTACGGAAACACAGGAGGGTCAAAAATAGACTTGATGCCTCCAGCATAGATGGAGAGGATGGAGATGATCACACAGGCCAGGAAGAGTGAGGCAAATTTGTTCACATACTTGACACCAACGAATACCACTAGGGTCATGAAGGTCAGGAAAATGGTCCCATATACCCGCATATTGTTCAAGGTGGCACTCGATGTGTCATGAGTGCCTGTTGGGTAAAAAATGGCGGCTGGAGGGGCAATGTAGGTCTGAAACAAGAAGACAGATAAAGGAGGCTCAATTTTCCTATGTGGAGTGTGTGCTTAGTCACTCAGTCACGTCCGATTCTTTGCAACCCATGGACTATAGCCTACCAGGCTCCTCTGTCCATGGGATTCTCCAGCCAAGAATACTGGAGTGGGTTGCCATTTCCTCCTCCAGGGGATCTTCCAGACTCAGGGATCAAATCCTCATCTCCTGCATTGGCAGGCAGATTCTTTACCACTTAGTTACTTGGGAAGCAGTGAATTTTATGTGAATTATATCTTAATAAAGCTATTATTTACAAAAAAGAAAAAAAAAAAGATCTGGACACAGGAGCTGACCTGAATAGCTAAATAGAAGTGGGATAGTTTGAGGAACAACAAAATAAATAATGATAGTATAGGATTATGAGCCAAAGAATAAAAATAAATATCCAGGAGTCCATACTGATATAAATACATGGTTGAATAAATAAACAAATGGAAAAAGGACAAATTTCCTTATAGAAGAAATCCAGATAATAAATGTAGGAATGTCAGAAATAGTAAAACAAAAATAAACCCCCCAGAATATCCAGGAATAGGCTCCATGCTACAGACAGAGGATCTGGAGGTGGAAGTAGGCAGGCAGTTCCTCTAAACATCTACTGTCTGTATACCCAGGGGCAGGCACTGGTTAGCCGATCCTCCCCATTGCCCCTCCCGCCCATTCCCCACCACCAGGGCAGTCCAGTGGGAGGCAGGAAGCTGAGTCAGAGCACACTTGGGGCCCACAGAGAGGGTACTGACCTCCCTGATTTTGTTAAGAGGATAAGAGAGGCCTTAGCACAGAACCCTGGAGGAGACAGAGCTGCCCAGAGCCCACATGAGCCCGGGAGACAGGCTCTGCATCACCACCAAGATCCGTCATAGCGTTACATGCAGTAGTTCACAGACCACCTGCCACAGCTGAAATATTGCCTGGGCAACTGGAACATCCAGGGCCAAGGTGAAGACTGCCAGGCCCCTTCCATGCCTGATCCAAACTGGGAAAGTGCTGAAGGGGACACTGGCTTAAACAAAGATCTTTCTCCCTCAAAGAGGCCTTCCTCATTGTAAGCCATAGATCTGGACCAGACGTGAGAGGAGTGGAGCATGAAGAGCTTGGGCTTATAGGAAAGGGGCTGTTCTGACAAGAACAGAAACGGCCAGGACTTAACCTGACTCACCAGCAAGATCTCAATGGCCCCTAGGATGTACATGGCTGCCGCAAATGTTGTTCCCAGGTAGAAGCACAGGCCCACGGCACCTCCAAATTCTGGCCCCAGCGAGCGGGAGATCATGAAATAGGAGCCCCCAGCTACAACAGAAAAAGCATACACAGGTCAAGGCTGGTTTTTCTTCAAGAGGGCCTCTCCCATGACAACCCTTCACAACCATCCAGGGGTACAGGGACTGCTTTTCCTATTTACAAATGAGCAGAAGGTTTAGACAACCTTGCCTAAGATAGCATGGTTAATAAGTGGCCAGGCTGGGGGTGGACCTGATTTCATTTGACTCCAACACACAGCAGGGGCCAGTGAGATGACTACTCTGCTGGGGCAGCTCTAGGTCCACAGCAAAGCCTCAGTGGAGTTAGGTCAGTCCCCACAGACTCCCCTGGCTGATTGTGTCCCATCTCAGCACACCGCACCCTTCCCAAGGGCTAACTCTGTTAGTTGACCCTCCAGACCAGGGAAGGGACTGTATTTTATCTAGTTTTTTGCCCCTAGGGCCAGCCACAGGGTAATTGTCCATGGCTGACTCTCCAGCCCTGAATCTGTGCTTCCATCACAGTCTAACACCCCTGGCAAGACTGAGTCAGCCCTGGGCCTCAGGGCCAGTGAGGGTGCAGGCGACAAGAGCCATCCCAGGCTTCTGGTTGAAACTGCTCCTGATAAAACTTATCTGTGAAAAATCTGGGAAAAAAAGATCAAGAAGCTTTAAAAAGGCTACTCCTTTTCATGCTATAATCCCACCTCTAGGACTTTCTCCTATTCATTGGAAGGACGGATGTTGAAGCTGAAAATCCAATACTCTGGCCACCTGATGGGAAGAGCTGATTCGTTTGAAAAGACCCTGATGCTGGGAAAGATTGAAGGCAGGAGGAGAAGGGGACAACAGAGATAAGATTGTCGGATGGCATCACCAACTCAATGGACATGAGTTTGAGTAGACTCCGGAAGTTGGTGATGGACAGGGAGGCCTGGCGTGCTGCAGTGCATGGGGTCGCAAAGAGTCGGACACGACTGAGCGACTGAACTGAACTGAGGACCTTCTCCTAAGGAAACTGCCAGGGGCATGAACAAAGATCAGTGTGCAAGACTGTTCATGACGATGTTTACAACAGTGAAAAAGCAGAGAACAGGAAAATAATCACATAAATTAGATAATATCAATCCTGTTTTAAAAAACCAAATAAACTGTTTTCAGCATTTGAGATACACACACACACACACACAGAGTTTGGGGAAAATAATATATCTCAATACTTTATAACACCCTAAAACCATGGACCAAAAGGCTAACAGTTATGAACTCAGGATGGTGGGATTATGGGTACTCTTCAATTTTTTTCTACATTTTTTTATACTTTAAATCCCTCTTCTGGTAAACATATATTGTTTTTTCCCTATCACTTTTATATTAATACTAATAAAACTGTTATTTGAAAAAAATAAAAAAGGATTCTAACACAGGGAGACAACCTGAATAGCCAAATACCCAAGTGGAATGGTGCAAGCAAAAAAATAAATGATAGTACTAAGATTATGAACCAAAGAATAAAATAAGTATCCAGGAGTCCATAGGGAAGTTATAATAAATACATGACTAAATAAATAAATAAGTGGAGTCTCTGAAAACCAAGTCCAGTCTCATCATCCTGGTGGGAAACCCTACAATCCATAGTGTGGGCCAGGCTCATTGGCTTGGGCCACCAGGAATGCCCTATCATCTTCTTTATCAGCCCCAGCACCCCCTTTAAAAAATTACTATTATACTAAAAACAAAACAAATCCCAAACAAATAAAACATAAAACAACAGCGATCTCAAATTCTATCAGGCAGGGATGCTCATAGTGGTGACACTTTTATGGAATCAAGGACTAAGACCCCACCAGAAAACTGTCTGGGGGGCAGGGAATGAGTGTTCCTGGGCATGTCAAAGGGGATTCTAGGACCATTCCCCACCTTAGGCCTGAATGGCACGCACCCACCTGGAACCACACCATTGGTGGCAATGGCGCTCATGGAGATGGCCGTCAGCAAGGTCTGTGGGAAGGAGGGCAGAGGTGAGCAGCTCAGCTGGGCGGGCTCTGTGGGGAAGCCGTGGCCCTGCCCCACCACGATACTCACACAGCAGCAGCAGATGAGCACAATGAGGAGGGCCTGCAGCACGCCGGCCGTGCCCACCATCCAGGTCAGCCGCAGGAAGAGGATAACCCCAAAGATGTTCTGCAGGCAGGGCAGGTACACCCCCATGAGGGTGCCCATGCTGGGTGCCTATGGAGCAGGAGGGGAGAGGGGAGACGGAGCATCAGAGGGGCCCCTCATTGCTTGGCAGTCCCCACCTCCAGGGTATTCTGCCAGAGAACAGGCTGGAGAAGGACATCTCAAGTGGAGACCTGGGGATACAGAAGGTGAGCTGACTGGATGTCTGTGCTGACCTTCATTAATGAAGAAACAGTGGGGAGTGGGAAGGTATAAAACCTGATTCTTTTCCAAACCTCATATGTGAGCTTTTGAGCCTCACCTCCCCTTCATGGTCCTGCCACCTTCCCTTCCTCTCTTCTTTCACACTTCCAGAAAGTGAGGTCTATATCAGACCTCCACTTTCTCAGCCAGCAGACCCTATGTTACCAGGCCAGAGTCTAAAAAGTTGCTCCTGACCCCCCTCTCTCCAACACCTCCATCCAGTCCAGAGGAAAGTAAGTCCTGCCCAGTGTGCTCTCAAGGTGCCCTGAGATCAGTCTACCTTGCCTCGGCCTTAATCCCCTGAAGCTGGGGCGCTACACCTGGGGCACCTGGCTAGGTCCTTCTTATGCCTGTCAGCCTCTCTGTGCTCCAGCCCACTCTGCTGCCAGAACAGGACTCTGAAAACCAAGACCAGTCGCATCATCCTTACTAAAACTCCTCTGCATTGTCTATACTGTAATCCAGTGTGAGCCAGGCTCCTTGGCCTGGGCCACCAGGCATGCCCCATACCTCTGTCAGTGTCAGCCCCTGACAACATCAGACCCTCAGAGCCTCTGAACCAGGGCATGTGCTGGGCTCTGCCTGGAATGATTATCCCTGCCTTACGGCCTGGCAAATTCCTCTTCAGTTAAACCTTCAGGAGACTTAACTGTTGCCTCTTCCAGGAAGTTTCCCCAGGTTGCCTTAGGTGGAGCTGGTACTTCTTCTTGCATCCCCTCAGCATCTGATATACCCTTCCATCATAGTGGTCATGACAGGTCATGGTAACTGTTCACTCGAATGACCATAGTGGGGTAAACTTGGCTTGTTCACTGTTCTATCATCAGCAGGCCCTGCAGGTACTCAAAAGGTGCTCCTAAGCCCAGCGAGTGATGCCTTAGAAGGCCTCTGGGATAACCTATTGGGAAACTCCTGCATACAAAGACTCAGGCTGGAGGGCAGGTAAGGAAAGTCTGTCTTAATGGGCCCATCCAGGCAGGATTTCTCAACTACCTAAGGGCAGAGTAGGGGCTAAACAGGAGGCCAGGGCAGATGCTGAAGCACAGAGTTAGGGCTGGTGCCTTCTTGAAGAACTGAGCCCATATAAGAACAGCACTGAGTAGTAGGGTCCTAAGAGCTTCCACCAGAACCCCCAGCAAAGCCTGCTGCTCTAGAGCCGGGGTGGGAGAAAGAACTCTGTGGCCACAGGAACTCTTCTCCATGGCCCAGGCCGGGCATAGGATCTGTGCAGAGCCTAAAGGACCCCAGAAGGGCCTGGGAGGGCCCCAAGTAAAAACAAATGGTTCCTCAAGCTGTCCTGCACAGAGCAGGTGACAGATACACCTCATGTGGGTTCTGACTGAGCCCTTCTCAGAGGCCCTGGACCACCCACTGGATAGTGGCAGCTCCCGGCCTCCCCATTCAAGGCTGAGTCACTCTGGGAAAAGGGGCAGTATGGGAAAGGGCAGGGCCGGAAATGCTTTCTGCATCTCTAAATAACCTCTGGCAGCCTCAGAAGGTCACCAGGCCACAGCCAGAGCGGCTGCCATGGAGAGGCTGCCTTGGGTCTTGGTGTGGTCTGACTGGAGGCCCACCCTTCCGGCTTTAAGCTTTTCTTTTCTGAGGCCCCTGCTCACACCCGCCTGGGTGAGGACCACAGCTCAGTGGCCCCAGCTCCCTAGCTTTCTGATTTGCTGTGGACTTGACAAGGCTCCTCCTTTCTCCATGAAACAGCTACTAGTGCTGGGACACTCAGCCATCCTCTGCATCTTTAAACCCAGGGCCAGGGGAGCTGGCAGGTAAGCTTAGGCTGGACTCCAGCATCCTCACGGGCTCTTCATAAGGCCAAGGAACCACAGCCCTTCACCAACCCAGAACACCTTGTTGAGATGTACTCTAGCCTTTCTTAAGGACCTTTTTACTCCCAACCACTGGCTTCCTGGACTTGGCCTGAAAGGAAGGAGAGGAGACTCTTACCCAAGGATCTCACCCCTCACTGCAGGGCTAAACAGGGATAGCCAGAGATAGACAGAGTTCTCTGCTATCTGCAGTTCAGAAAGTATCATCAAAATCACAACCAACAGGATAGGGTGGGGGTCAGGTCTGTGTGACCCCAAGATCTCAGCTGTCCTCTCTCAAGTGTGGGCTGGGTTGCCTCCGAGAAGAGCGACATGAGGGGTGCACAGCCGCCTGGTCCTCACCTCCTCTCTCCTCACCCACCTCAGTAATCTCAAAGGCAAAGGCAATCTCAAGGGTAATCTCAAAGACCTGCCCAAATCTCAAGGGCAGGTCTGAGACTTGGGATGCGGTTTATTCCAGCCAAGGGCTCCTCCTGCCTGTGCTGACCTCCAGCAAGAGGTCAGAGAGTGCCAGACCCAAGCTCCTTTCGGGTCACAGCTGCTTCCCAAACCTCAGGGAGTCAGGAGACGTGGAGAAAAAAGCTGCTTTGCCTCTAAACTGAATATGCTGGGGGAAAAAAAACAACCCAGCCTTCGGTTAAACAGCCCCATCACACAGGTTAGTGTTAGGGTAAAGTCATCCCTGGTGGCTTCAGTGGTAAAGAACCCACCTGCCAATGCAGGAGACATGGGTTTGATCCCTGGGTCGGGAAGATCCCCTGGAGGAGGAAATGGCAACCCACTCCAGTATTCGTGCCTGGGAAATCCATGTATAGAGAAGCCTGTCAGGCTACAATGGGGTTGCAAAAGAGTTGGATACGACCAGGTGACTGAATAACAACAAAGTTATCCTGAAGAGAGGACGACTGGAGGGCCAGAGTCCTGGAGAGTGAACAGGGATAAGACTAGGAGAGAGATAGGGAAGCCCCAGGAGGCAGTGTTTTACTTCTATCACCCTCAGTAGCAGCGCTCAAGGAACCCAGGGGCTGTTGGAGAGGTCTGCCGGTGCAGCCAACAAAGAGAGGGGCAGAAGGGTTTAGTCATCTGCTCTAGGTCACACAGCTCCAAGGTTCCTAGTTCCAAAGGTTCCTTATCCATCCTGATAGGATGCCAGTGATCTGGCATCCTACACAGTCACATACCTCACAGGAAACCCACAAGTCTCCCAGTGTTATGTGTTGACCTTGTTTAGCTCAGTCACCTTAGGCAAGTTACTTAACATCTTTGACACTCAAGTTTCCTCACCTGTAAGGCGGGGATGATAATAGAAACTGCCTCACAGATTTTTTGTGAGGATGACACGCAAGAACCCTGGCCCACTGCTTAAGCATGATGCCTCACACACACACGCACACACACAGGCCTAAGTAAAGGCAGTGGTCACTCCCACCATTATTTCTGAGGGCCTCCCTGGTCCTCTGCCCTGAGAGACTCCTCCTCAGCCCAGCCCTTGAAGTCTCCTTGAGGCCAAAATACTCAGTGCCTATCCTCCAGGCTCACCACACCTGGCACCTACTTTCCTGGGATGCTAACAGCTACATGGGGAAACTGCCAACTCCATGGTGTTGACTCTGTCCTCCTAGGAGCAGCCTCTCTGTTGCCCCTGACCAGCTCACCTTGGCTGCTCTCCGACGGGCACCCTCTCCACTCTCAGCCTCCTCATGCTCCTTGGCGCCCTGTGTGAGGTTGGTGTAGCTGACGAGCTTGCCCAGAAGAGATGACACCTTTGGCCGGATGTCCAGCTCTTCCTGTAAACAGAGCCACAGGGCATTCTGGCAACGGGCCCAACTGGCACCAGGCTACCTGTGTGTAGCCAGCAGCCTGGCCTCTGGTCCCTTGCCAAACCCTGAGGCAGGCTTGGGCTCCCGCCTGGGGAAACCCAAGCCAGCCAACTGGGCAGGTGTGGGTGCCCCACCCCAGCACTCACTTCTCTCTGCCCCACCTTGGCTCAATCACTACCAGCCCATTTGCAAAACTACCTGCCTCAGGGGAAAGGGCAGGGCAGACAGGCGACTGGCACACTTCATCCTGCCTGTTCTGGCTGGCTACCTCCCAGCTATGAGTAGGCCTCTGGAACTCACATCTGTGCTCAACAAATAGACACCCTAGTGATCCCAGGGAAACAAAGAAATTAAAAGAGGAAAAAATAAAATAAAAAGAAATTAAAAGAGGAGTCAAAAGAGAGATGTCTGGGACAAGTGAAGTCTCTCTTATCTGCCTAAACCCTGAATCTCCTGGATGGTCTTCCCCACACCCTGTGAATAACCCACCTCAATCCCCAAGGTGGGATCCTAGCCCCCTAGCCCATCTTTGGGAGGGGTCAAGTCAAGAGGCCTCCCAGGGCTCAAGATATGGCACAGCATCTAGCACAGCTTCCTGAGCACTGTGTCTCTACCCGCCTGTTGCCCACATTTAGTTTTTCCCTATCAATCAGCTCCCTTCTGACCCTACACACAAGGAGAAACTGTCTTGGAGTAAGAAGTGAAGATGCAGGTCTTTGCAAGTCTATGGAGACTGAAGAGCCTACGAGACTTCCACAGAATGTGGGTAGATGTGGGTCAGAATTTAGGGGCCTAAACCATGACTTCAACCCAGAGCCAGTTTCTGACTTGAGTCTGAAAATGATAAAATTCAAGGCCAAAGTCACAAAATTGGGAATGTTTCCAGAGAGAGATCCACTGAGGTTACAGATATGGAGAGAAGGGGCAAATTCAGTGAGAAGCACCAGGTCTTGGTGAACTTAATGGGGCTAGACTTGGAGGAGTCAATCAGGAAGGACAAGGAAGAGTTCACAGGAGAGGAAAGCATTGTGGACTGTGAGAAGTCCCAGATGTGAAGGAGACAAAGCAAATCTCGGGTTAGAAATCCTGAGAGGTGGTGACCTTGCTGAGGGGCTGCATGGAAGTCAAAGGTAAACACTCTTGGAGGTAGTAATGAGGTAGAGACCTCTGGGAAAGCAGTTTCAGTTGAAAGGGCCAAGAGAACCGCAGCTTGGCTGCCAAGGGAGTGAGACAGACAAGCGGAGACTGGAGGAGGAGCCCAGACATAAAGGACACAACACCCAGCCAGCTTGCTTAGCTAAGGCTTAGGTCCTGACAGGTCCCTGCGCGCCCACACCCATGGCCCAGAATGGCTCCTCAGCTACCTCAAACAGTGCCAGGTTCCTGTCATGGTAGTCACTTCCTCTGGAAGCCTCCATGGGACAAAGGAAAGGGCTGCTCTCTTTATGGTTGCCATGTCCTGTAGAGAGAGAAAAACAGAACCCTAGTCAGGGACTGCCTACTGAGCTCCCAGCATGCACTTCTTGCCAGCAGGCCTGCTGTCATCTCTGTGGAGCACTTTAGGGACCAGTGTAACAATACTGGGACTCAGTTTCCCCAACATACCCTGTCAGCCTCCTTGAAAGAGCCAGAATTGGCAGACTGGCCAATGATCAAAACCCAGCGTGAACACTCATCTAGCAGGGGGCACAGGAGCGAAAGGCCCAGACGCACTAGCTCAGCACTGTTAACACCAAGGGGCGGAGTCTGCGGCAGAAGGGCGTGGCCCAGTCAAGGCCCGCCTTCAGACCACCCTGAGGCTCACACTCCCGTTTTTTTTCCCAGCCCTTCTGGTATACCCAATGTGCCAGGTGCCAAGGGCTCAGTGTCCTCAGGGCTCCCCCAAGAGCTACCCTCCAGATAGAGAAAGCCACACAGGGCGCCTTCTGCCGCCATGATCAGCCAGCCACCTGCTAGCCACCCCATCATGCACCGCGCGGGGACAGCATTCTTGAGGGCGGCCTGAGGCATGCCGGGAGGAGCAGCAAGCAGGAGACTGTCCAGTGTACGGAAGTGGGTGCCCAGAGCTGTCTAGGGTCATCTGGGAAGGCCCTACGAAAGCCTGACCCCGTGGGTGTGGGACTGGGCAAGGACTGTAGGCAGGACTCACTTGTTTACCTCCCTGTCCCCAGATACCAGCCACTTGCCCGAGACTAGGCGAGTGGCCAGTCCCCACGTCTACCTACCCCCCCGGGCCGATGAGGTAAGGCCTAAGTACCAAGGAGACCTCACAGAAAGGAGCCAGATGCACCTTCTTTTAATACAGCTGCCTCAACACTCAAAACTGGGCCGCTTTTTCTGGCCACCCAGCATTCACTCTATCGTTTTCCAAACCATGTCCATTGTGAGTCTCAGTGGGTGACATTCCCAGCTTTCCATGAAGCAGGCAGAAGACACCAAGAGTCCTTTTCTCGTTGCTAAGGGAGAAAAAACCCTGCAGTTTGGAAACTGTGGTGGCAGTGACTGAAGGCCTCACAGCTGACATCTTGGTTCAAAGAAGCCATGTTGGTACTGGATGGCAATGACTACAGCAGCAGTGTTGGCCTGGTGTCCTGTGATGGAGGTGGCCAACAGAAGTGTCTTCACGGATCCAGACTAGTGGGGTATTCTGGCCATGCCTGGTTTTGTGAGAGCTACCTGGCAACCTTCTCTGGTTTAACGGCCCCCAATCCATTTCTCTTGTTTACAGCTGAAAATACTGAATGATGCCTCCTCCGTTTGATACGTCCTCTTGCCATCAATATGAAACTTAACTTCTCTGAGCCAACAATCACTCAGTAGGTGCTGTGCTATGGATTCTTTACTGCCCCAAGAGACTGACAGGTAAAGCATGTTGATGAGAATTTCTGGGGCAAAATCAGCTGTTCCTTCCCACAGGATGTAAAAAGAGTACATCACCTTCTCTAGGAACCTGGGCTAGCTAAATAAGTGAAGCAGCTCAGTACCAGAAGCTACAAGTCTGTGTGTAGGTCAGTGCTAAGGGCAAAGTGGACAGAGATAGTGAGAGGTGAGGCCAGCCTACAGAATGACGTTAAAGCCTCGGGCTGGGAGGAGTGGTCACGTAGCTACTCAGACACCCTAAGACATTTGCTGTGCCCTTGATGCCCAGTACATGGATGGTCCTTCAGTGAGCAGTCCCTGAAAACTACTCTTAGATTTTTGTGACAAACAAAAATATCTTCCCTGAGTAAGTCAGAGGCTTTATTCTGTCCAAAAAAGGCAACTATAAGAGCTCATCTTGTTTCCCTTTCTGCCGTGGCTGCCAGGAATCTCTAAGCTAAATTTATTTCTCAGATCCAGTCACCATCTGCCTCAGAGTCCCTGTCCCTTTCCTCTGCATGGTTTTGATTTTTCTTACAGTAAGAGTCCTTTGGGGAGGAGTTTTTGTTGTCTGTCTCTTCTGACCCTTCTGTGGAAGTAGGCTGAAAGTAAAGGATAGGATAGATCATTCTAAACTCCTGCACTGCAGCCTTCGCCCCACCACCACCACCATTGTCTAACCCTAACCACGCCTCTCTAAGGACTGCATTAGTGTCTAGAAAACACAGAGTTGAGCACATAGCAGTCCCCCCAAAATGCCTGTGGATGGTCCTGCAAGACCCAGTCGATCCCTTGTCCCTTCAGCCATGATGCCAGAGCAGCTCAGAGCCCTTCCAAAGGTTACCTTTAGTTCTCATAGCAATACTCCAGTAGGTATCATTTACCCTCTTTTAGTAACAAGGAATGCAAAGCTCAGATTCAGACGCAAGGTGACTCAGTGAGAGGGCCAAACTTGGGTCCCAGGATCCCCTAGATCCAGGTGAGAGCTGAGCTGTGGGTTCCCTACTCCTGCTTAAGACCCCCTTCCATCCCAGGAGGCATCCCAGGGTTGCAGTACAGGCCACAACTAAAGAGTGTCTTGGGTTTGCAGTTTGGCCATGATGTATGTATCCAAGGCTCCTGGTGCTCAGTGGCCAGATGCCAAGCTTGGATTCTGTGTGATGCAGGGCAACCTGCTTACCTTCTCTGTGCTGCCTTGGTTTCTTTTCCTATGAAGCAGAGCTAATAACATCCACTCTTCCAACTGCCCAAATGCCTCAGAAAAGGGACAGCCTGGTGCCAGACACCCAGCAGGGATTCCATGGAGTTCCCCAAAACCGCCCCAGTTAAGGACAGCTCCCATGGGATTGTGGGAATTGGGGGGAGGTGGGGTCTAAGCAGTTCCTGGGTATCTGTACTGCCCTCAGCTATTCCAAAAATCCCAGGGCAGGTCTGGGCATGCCTGCCAGGCCAAAGCTACTCAGATGCCACCTGAGACCCGAGGTTAACCACAGCATGAAGACTGGGCCTGGGGGCTGCCTCTGAGATACATACATATGTGTGTTCTGGCCAGCAGCTGTGAATGCGCCAGCTGCAAGCAGGGATCCAAGTGACACTCCTGGTATCCCTGTACAGGTATCTGCCAGGGGTACTCCTCTAGAACCTCTTCACCCTCTGCCCACAGGCCACAGTGGGCTGGATGAACAAGTCCATCTATGCCCTTGGACCAGAGGTATGGGCCTTGAGAGATTCAGATACCCAGGCCGGCGGCGGGGAAGGGGGGTCCCATGAGATGGCCCTCAGGGTCACTATTTGTGTGCCCCTGACCCTTTGCAGCCCCCAACTAGAAGGATCATAACCACTCACCAGGGTGCAGAATGTCCCCCATACTGCAGACACAGTCACGGATCTGGCTGAAAGGGAGGAAGAAGAGGTGGGGGGATAGTGGGAGGAGCTGGCCCAGCCTGGAGGGACCTGGCAGGACTCAGCCAATGTGAAGGAGCCAGTTCCCTATAGTCCCCTGTGAGAGGCCAAGGCGGAGCCTGAGGCTGGGCTTCTCTCTGCCTACCTGCTGGTCCAAGCTGATTTTAGGGATGCAGCCCAACCCAGCCTCTGGGGAGAGAGAGCCTCCAAAGGCTAACAGAGGAGCAGGGATGGCTGCCGGCTCCTGCTCTGTTCACTGGTACCAGGCTGGGGCAGGTGCCAGCAGGGGTTGAGGTGTGCACACCCTCACAAGCTGTCAAGCCTGTTTAATTTCCATGATGTCCAGCAGCCCATGCCACTGCGCTGTGCCATCTCCACACACAGCAGTCAAGTGACACACACAGCCATCACCCACATGAAGCATGGATCACCTCAGTCAGGTCCCCATCAGAGACAGATCCAAGTCAGATCAAGGTAACATCACCTGACATATGCCACCAACACGCATGTCCCCTGCAGATCTCCATCATGGTCAGTAACAGACCAAGCATTTGTCATCAGTCACATCACCATCCTCATCACCGGAGCCCACAAGAATGTGCTATCCTGACCCCACTCTGGCTCTGCGGTACTCCACAGCTGTACACCTGCACGAGCACAACTACACATGCATGTGCTGCTGCACAAACACACACACAGGTTCTTGGAGTGTTCACACAAGAGTGAGCCCTGCAAAGACAGGGCCCTGGGGAAAGAGATGGTGAAAGTCAAGGGCAGGCACCTAGGAGGGGGAAGCCGGGTTTACCTTCAGGCCCAGTTTAACAGCTAGGTTAAGAGTTAGGACTCTGGAATCTCCCATCCTCGATCTGAATCCCCTAGAGCAAGTTACATAACTACTCCATGCCTCACTTCACTCCTTCCTAATCGAGAGTAACACTACCTGTCCCAGGGCGGGAAATTAGGATTAAACTAAATTAGGAGGAGTTAATTCAGGTAAGGTGCCTAGACAAGCCTGGTCCCGTGTGAGTGCTCCACAGGTGTCCTCTGTAGCTACAGATGTAAGCTGGGATCCATGTAGCACTCAAGCAGTGCCCCACAGACCCCTTCAGGCTTCCCTCCGGGGGGACTGGAGTGCTGGGCGGCACACAGAAGGAAGGAGAAGGGGAGGGGAGCGGAGGAGAGGGTTGTTTTAAGGAAAGAGATGCTGAAGCACAAAAGTGTAGGCGAGACGAGAAGAGGTTAGGGGCGGTTGGCAGGAGGTGAGACGGCTGGGGTCCCGCCTGGGGCTGTCGCTCCCAGCCGGGAAGAGCCAGAGATGGAGGTTCAGCGCTCTTCGCGCCCCGGGCGGCCCCGCTGGCCTGGCCACGTCTGCAGCCCCCGCCCGCGGCCCTCAAGGGAGGAGCTGGGGCATGGAGGGAGGCCCGACCGCGACAGCAGGCGCCGGGGGCCCAGGAAAATTGTGTCTGCGCGCGAGGAGGTGGGGACTGTCTAGCGGCGAAGGAGTCTAAGAACTAAGTTGGGCCCTCATCGACGTGTGCGCGCACGGCCCGGCGTCTGTGCGCCAGCCGGCCCCGCATGGCCCGCTCCCCGCCCCGGCCCGGGACCCCACCGGGCGGGCCCTCACCGTCCGCGTCCTCCCGATCGGCGCGCTCCCCGTAGTCCACCCAACTCAGACCCTCGAGGTTGTCATAATCGCCGCGCCGCGGCCCGTCTACCGGCACCACGGTGAAGTGAGGCATCCCGCGCGCTCGGCCCCGCCGCACCCGCCGCCCCGGCCGCCTGCCCGGCTGTCCCCGCCGCTCCGGGCCGGCGCGCCCCGCCCGCTCACATTCCTCCCCGCTGCGCTCACTTCCTCCGCCCGCCCCCCGGGCCGCCCCTCGGGGGCGGGGAGCAGGAGGGGCTCGGGGCTGGCTCCTCCCTGAGGGGGGCCCTGGAGGAGTGAAACCCCGGGGGGCGTGGGGGGGGGGGGCAGTACAATTCCACGCCCTGGGGAGGCCTGATTCCTGTGTGACCTCGGGTGGTGAGCCGCCGTCTCTGAGCTTCGGATGCAGTGCTTGTAAAATGAGGAAATGCTCTTGGGGCTGCTGAGGGCTCCTGAGGTGGGGCACGAGGTGAGCTTTGGGCCTAGTGAGAGCTCAATGACGTTTCTGTGATGCAGGGCCGGGGAAGGGTAGGTAGGAGCGCAGAGCTCATTCAAGAACCGCCCAGGGGCCTCCTCAGCACCCTATCCCCATTTTCATCATCTCTGTCTTTCACCTCTTCTCCGCGTCCCTGGAAACCGAGGGAGCCCCAAGAAGATCCCATCCCTTCCCCCACCCCACAGTGCCTCTCTGTTGGAGGCTGCTGGGGGGATCCGTGCCCTTTCACTAGAGGCTGCTTCCTTCTTGGAAGTAAGGACACCCATTCCCCTCGCCCAGCCCCACGGGCCTCTTCAGACGCTGCATTGGATTCTTTAGCCAAGTTCTTTCATCTCAGTTTTATCTTTTTCCGTCTCACCTCCTGGGGATTCCTTTTTGTTATTGTGCAGTCTCTCTAAGTCATGTCCGACTCTTGGCGACCCTAGGGACTAAAGCACACCGGGCTGCTCTGTCCTCCACTATCTCACTTTGCTTCAAATTCATGTCCATTGAGTTGGTGATGCTATCTACCCAAGCCATTTATTTCTTTTTTTTTCCCATTTGTTTCTTTACTCTCAATTTTCTTTCACTTTCTACGCCATTGCGTCAGATAAGTTTATTCAGGTGGCTTTACTTTAACATCTTTATCTTTCTAGACCATTCTTTCAGCTATTTCTCTATCAGAAAACCCCAGTGCCCACCTCCATTTTTTTCTCCCTTTTATGACTCAGAGGGTTTTAGAATATCAGAATTAGTGGTATCTTTCCAACCTACCACAGACTCTGCATTCTCTGACCTTTGTCTCTGGGAATCAGGATCAGGAATCAGTCTCTGGGCCCTGCAGGAGGACCTGGGATCTGACCTCTATTCTGGCCCCTACCCAACTCTCATCCCAGCCAAGACCTGTTGCTTTGGCCTGTCTTTCATGCCACATTCAGTTGCCCACAGTAGCAGCCTTCCAATGAACTCCCTGCTCATGGTAGAGCCATCTCTTCTTTTTTAAAAAAAAATATTTACTTATTTATTTGACTGCACCAAGTCTTCATTGCAATATGCCAGAACTTTAGTTGCAGGTATGCGAACTCTTAGTTACAGCATATGTAATCTACTTCCTTGACCGGGGATCAAACCTGGACCCCCTGCATTGGGAGTATGGAGTCTTAGCTACTGGACTACCAGGGAAGTCCTAAGAGCCACCTGTTTTGAAAAGAAAGCCCAAACTCTTCTCTTGGCCCACAAAGCCCTGCTCCATCTGGCCCCTCCAGTCTCTTCAGCTATATCTGTCCTCATCCTCTGCCCCAGCCTCAGCCTTTCTGGCTTCTTTCACTTCCCCAAACTCAAGGGGTTTCTGTGCAGCACCTGTGCCTGACAGGATGCCTTTCTATCCACCCACCCCCACACCCATTTACCAAACTCCTTTGTATGGAAGGGGTCTCAGCTTAGAACACTGCTTCTTCTCCAGAAAACGTCTCTGAAACATACCCCACCTTCCCACCACCCCCATTTCATCCTCCTGTGAGGCACTTTCCTTTCATAGGACTCACTGCAGGAAGAAGTATGTTGGTGGAGATCTTTAATGTTTCTTGTGTGTGGATTTCACACTGGCAGGACCGTTTCAGTCTCCTCAACTTGGTATCTTCAGTCTTGGCCCCAACACATTTTTTGAATAAAGAACGAACAGGTGCCTCCTCCTTGGTCTTCCCTGATGCTCCACAAAAGCTCCCCATAGTTCTCACCTGGCCTCTCTTCTCAGGGGTAGGGTCAGGTGCTATGTGAGGAAGATAGGCTACTATAGTCCAACTGAAACCTTAGACTTTACGAGACTCTGTAGCTAGGATACAATTTCCCTCATACTATTGACTGGTCAAGTAGCCTGCACCATCAGGGTACTCATGGGCAAAAATAACAGGCAAAAAAAACAGACATTTGACAAGCACAGACATTTCAAAAGAAAATATCTTAAAGAACAGTCTTTTGGACTTTGTGGGAAAAGGCGAGGGTGGGATGATTTGAGAGAATAGCATTGGAACATGTATATTATCATATGTGAAACTGATCGCCAGTCCAGGTTCCATGCATGAGACAGGGTGCTCAGGGCTGGCGCACTGGGATGACCCAGAGGGATGGGATGGGGAGGAAGGTGGGAGGGGGGTTCAGGATGGGGAACACATGTACCCCCGTGGCTGATTCATGTCAATGTATGTCAAAAACCACTACAATATTGTAAAGGAATTAGCCTCCAATGAAAATAAATAAATTAAAGAAAACATCTATTGGGGAAAGGATCAGAATACATGGATCAAAAATTCAAAATTAGCCTGATAAACATATTACAAAAGATAAGGTAGAATATTAGCCATATGAAACAAGAAAGTATAAAAAAGAACAAGCAGAGGGAACTTCCCTGGTGGTCCAGTGGTTAAAAATCTGCCTTGCAACGCAGGTAAAGTAGGTTTGACCCCTGGTCAGGGAACTAAGATCCCACATACTGCAGGGCAATTGAGCCTGTATGCCACAAGTACTGAAGCCCGTGCACTCTACAGACCATGGTTTGCAACGAGAGAAGCCACTGCATGGCAATAAGAGAAAAGCCCCTGAAAGTGGCAACCAAGACCCAGTGCAGCCAAATAATAAATAAATATCTTTTAAAAGAATAAGCAGAAATATAAGGTAGAGAAAAATATAATTGTCCCAGTGATCTATGGCTTCATAACAAATTATCCCAAAAGATAGTGACTTAAAGTGACAATCAACAGAAATATTATTTGCTCACAAATCTGTAAACTGAGTAAGCTTGTCTCTATTCCACATGGCATCACTTGGGGCTGGAGGATTCAGTTTGAAAATGATTCATGGGAATTTCCCGTAGGTTCAGTGGTTAGGACTCCATGCTTCCACTGCCAGGGGCCCTGGTCAGGAAACTGAGATCCCACAAGCCGAGGGGCATGAACAGGAAAAAGATGATTCACTCACATGACCAGTAGATTATTATTGGCTGTAGGCTAAGAGCTCAAGGGGACTGTGGACCAGGAACACTGGGTCCTTTACATGTGAACCTCTCCCTGGGCAGCTTGGCTTCCTCATAGTACAGTGGCTACAGTCCATGAGTAAGCATCCTCAGAAGCAGGACAGTCTCCTGGGCCCAGGGCTGGATGGGCACAGCATCACTTCTGCCATATTTTACTGGCCAAGCAGGTACAAAGCCCAGATTCAAGGGGTGGGCAGACATAGACTCCATCTTTGGATGGGAGAAGTATCAAAGAAATACAGGACCATGTATAAAAATTACCACAATGGTATGTCAGACAACACAATAGGTAATCTAATAGCAGAAAGTTTTCATTGAGAATGAATCCATAAATTAGAAAGACCCAAGTTAAGGAATTCTCCCAAAAGAAGAAAAAGAAGAGAGAGATGAGCTAGAAAAAGAAGTTCTAGTATCTGCACAATAGAAATTCCAGAAAAAGAGTAGAATAAAAATGGAGAAAAAGTGCAACATGAATGAACCTTGACAACATTATGTTAACTGTAGGAAATTAGATATAAAGGTCACATATTATGTGACTCCATTTGTAAGAAACATCCAGAACAGAGAAATACATAGACACAGAGAGCAGATTGGTGGCTGGGGGAACCACAGGATCAGGTGCAACTGCTTAATAGGTAGAGGGTTTCCTTTTAGGATGGTCAAACTATTTTGGAACTAGATAGAAGTGATGGTTGTATGACAATGTGAATGTACTAAAAGCCACTGAATTATTCACTTTATTTTTACTTTTTTTAAACTTAATTTTTTATTTATTTGGCTGTACCAGGTCTTAGACACAGCACTTGGGATCTTCGTTGCCGTGCGTATGCTTTTATTTGCAGCATGTGGAATCCAGCTTCCTGACCAGGGATCAAACCTGGCCTCCCTGGGAAGTCCCCTGTAATTTGTTCTTTTTCATTGCTATGTTCTCTTCCATGGAGTTAATACCACACCATTGATTTCTCTATTGGTGGGTTATTTTCAGTTTGAAATTACTAAAAATAGTGCTTCTCTAAATATATTTGTTCATGTCTTTCTGTGCACATGTGTGCAGGCCTTTCTGTTGAGTCTTTAGGGGAGAAAAATGGTTAAATCTTGGGTATATGTGTCTGAATATTCATTGGAAGGACTGATGCTGAAGCTGAAACTCCAATACTTCAGCCACCTGATGTGAAGCTGACTCATTGGAAGACCCTGATGCTGGGAAAGATTGAAGGCAGGAGAAGGGGATGACAGAGAATGAGATGTTTGGACAGCATCATGGACATGAATTTGAGTAAGCTCCAGGAGCTGGTGATGGACAGGGAAGCCTGATGTGCTGCAGTCAATGGGGTTGCAAAGAGTCAGACATGACTGAGCAACTGAACTGAACTGATATGTGTCTTTAACTTTAGTAAATAACGTGGAACAGTTTTTCAAAGCAGTTTTGTCAGTTTACACTGCCACCAGCTGGTTATGAGAAAACCTAATGCTCCACATCCTTAATAACACCCTATTGTTCATCTGTTGAATTTTAGTTATCCTTTTCTGTGAGTTTTATTTTGCATTTCTCTAGTGACTAGTAAGGTTGACAGTCTTTTCATTTTCTTATTGG